ACTTGCCTGCTTGTCTTCTGCGAGCTGGCAAAGCGAAATAAACCCAGGATTAGCTAAAAACTTCTCTACTGCTGCCGAGCCAGGAGGAGGACATGGGTCAGGGATGCCCGGGCGACCTCGAGGACAGTCCGGCATGCAGAGTGGGGGTTTGGGATCCAGAAAGCTGTGGCTTGGCGTGGATGTGCTGTCTGGTCTGGGGGAAGCCAGTGTAAGCTTGGGCGCGCAGTCGAATGGCCGTGCTCCGAGCTGGAGAGAGCAGAATCCGCTTCTGGCACGGCAGAATCTGCTTCTGGCACGGCTCGGGCTGGCCACGTCCGACGGCACGAGCGTCAGCTCGGGTGAAGGGAATGAGCTCGGCTTCTTCCAGCCCGATACCTCCGCTCGGCATCTGAGCATTTAGCTTCTCTCTGCCTCAGTTCCCTTTCTGGAAATCACGGATAATAGAGGGTTTTGTACACAAAAGCCTCGGAGGTGATGTGTTTCCATGGAGACAAGGCTTTGCTTGCTTGGGCATCTGATGTGGAATTCTAGTGTTTCTCTTAAATCCTGATATTCTTAAATAAGCCCTCTTTTTTTTCAGATGTGCTCTGTTATCTCGGTGTTATCCTGGAGATGCTGTGTTCTCGGACATTGCAAACGCTCCATGAACACTTGCAGCCCTCCTTCCCCGCAGCCTCGCGTGGCTGTTCCTCTTGCTGGGTCGCAGCTTGGTTTGTTCTGTCTCGGGTGAAGCAGAAAACCCTGACGACACGCTCTTTCAACTGCACCAGGCACACCTGGTATTGGATATTCCCTTTCAGTGCTGTTTAAAACAGCATCAGTAATTTAGACAGGTCTACCGAGGCCGGTTCTCGTCGTTGGAGCCTTGATGAAGTCAAGCGAGGGGTCTGGCGGGGAAGGTACCCTGCCAGTCTCTCGCCTTCCGCTTTTCTTTCCCGTCCTGCCAAGGGGGTCTCCTTTGCTCGTCAGCAGCTTGGGTTTTCTGATCCGCACGCTGTTAACGGGGCTGTTTCCCTCGAAGCTGCCGTTCGCAGCCCGATGATCCCGCAGGAGCGCGGCGAGATGTTGCCGCTTGCGG